TTTCAACATTCTCGATAACGTCCACCCGCGTATAGAAGAGCGTAATCGAGGCGGGGGAAGAAACACAAATTTAAAGACTGGAAAGAAAAATCTACCGGTTGTGCTTTTTTTACATTCCAAGGAAATATTCTTTTAACTTTTTTTTTTAACTTGCCAAAACGAAATGCCGGAGAGCGAAAATGGAGCGATATTGTTGGCTCTAATATTGACAAAATTGCGTGGACGTTCCAGAAATTTATTTGACCGACCGGTCAACGAGTATTCTCCTTATTTGAAGGTGAAATGTTTAACCTTTCAATAGGGGATTTCCAGGAATTTTGGCGTAATGGAAGGTTTTACTAGGTTTGAGAAAAAGAAATAAATACAACAACAAACAAAGACGCTTGAAAATTCTAATGGGCCTTTCGATCTCAATTCATGGGTCGACCTAAATTAGACATGTCGGACTTAATTGATTCAAACGTACGTCGACCTTTTCATGTACTTAATTAAAGGGATTAGGTTCGGTACATGAAAAGATAGACGTTTGAACTGGGCCTGAGCGAAACAAAAATAAAGGCTGACTTGCGAGCTATTCAGACAAGGAAAACTTTTGAAGACGTCCTTCTATGTCCTTGAAATTCAACTATAAATAAAAGTACTACTTTTTCTCTCGTCATTTTGAATTTTAGATCAAAATGTTAGATCAAAAGTTTATTTAGAACCTCAGTAGTCAAATGGTTGAGAAACTAGGCAGTTTTTTTGCTGGATTGTTTTAAATGAAACTCATTTTGCGGCCTTAGGTTTGGTACTTGCAAATGTATTTATTACCTTCTGTTTGTACAAAAGCTTGCACTTTTGACGTCATGTATCGTAGTCATAGCAACTGACTGCCACCAAATTTTATCAGAACGTGTCTAGGATGAGACACTATTAGAGAGAAGAGACTTAAAAATTTCGATAAAATGTACTTAGATAAATACATAAATTAACAATAATAAAAAATAATAATAATGACGATAATAATAATAATAATAATAATAATAATAATAATTTTTAAATACAGTTGCGCCTTCATGTGCGACTACATCTCGTAAGCGAGCACTTCCCATAAACAACAACTTAGACAAAAACCCAAATATTTTCCTGTCAAAGCCTTATATAGTTGGAACCTCTAGTAAACGACTACTCCTTCGTATGCGACGGCGACCACTTTTTAGGGTGAGGATGAATTTTCCACTGTTTTTAACCTCTTTGAAGCGACCACCTGATACAATGGTCTGATCTCTGTGTTCGCCGTATGTACTACGCTACCTAGCTACTCAAAGATTGTGAAGAACTTTTAGAAATAACTTGGATCTGTACAAATATTGCAACCTAGAAGTTGTATACAATTCATTCTCCTCCGCACTTCTCCTTCTACGTGGGTAATAATTTGGAACAGCAATCATCTTGAGGGGTCTCTTTAAATAGCATCTAAAAGCCGATGGACGCAGCTAGAGCAGGGGCACCCAACGAGAATATAGTTCAAAACCACTTAAACATAGAATTGTTTAACGTATTTTAGTATTTAAACGGTAGATTTAGGCATATTTTTATCCCCTAAAACTTTTTCATCTGTTCGGATTTCCTAGCTGAAAGTCAAGTGATCCGAAAATTATAGGGATCAAAACTTACCTTTTCGAAAATTTTAGCCAGAAAAAAGGCTCCCGAAAATTCTAGGTGACCTTTTTAGGGTATAAATCCGTTAAAAATAGGCAATTATACCATTTTTTAGATGTCCGAAAATCCTAGGAGAGGCAGGCAAGCATGGCAAGAAATTTTACAACAAATGTTCCGAAAATTCTAGATCGCAAATCGTCTTCCGAACAGATATTTTTCCGAAAATTGTCGTTGGGTGCCCCTGTTAGAGTTATGGATACGAAAACTGCTGATAAAGTTATCGTGAATAAATGGAATAATACACAACAATATTGGATGAATCTGAGTATGACATGAGGGACTATAGAGATTGAGGGTGTTAATCGGCCTACGGCGATTTAGTCGAATCCAATAATTGTTTTCTTCCGTTAATTCACAATAATTCCTATTTTAAAGCCAGCTAAAACATGATTTCCTTGATCGATGTTAAGTTTCCATCTTCAATAGACCTGATTCACGATACCCGCCATCTTTGCACGCGCTTAAGGTGTCGACCATTTGACTTTTCAAAAGGGGTATGGGTAAATTCAGAA